CGGTGAAAGCAGCAAGCTGGTTAATTTCTGTTACATCACTTCGCGTTGCCTTCGAAGGCTGGTCTGCGCTCAGTGTTTTCGTGGTGATGCAAGTCGGCTCTCTGTTCCAGCACTTGGATCCCTCCCATTCCTCAGTACCTCGCAGGTCTCTTCCCCCGAGCAGTGCGTTGCTGGAGCCAGCAGAGGCTTACAAATCAGCCGCAGGTCCCTGTTTTGAAAAGCAGAGACACAGAGGCAGAGGAAAAGGGTGGACTCCTATGTGACCCGTTCTTAGCGCAAGACAATCACCATCTGAATTCCAGAAGCCCTGTTCATGGTGGGGGAGATTTTTGCGACTGCATGGAATCAGAAAGAAGCAAAAGAATGGGAAATGCCTTCATGCCCCTGAAAAGAATTGCTTATTTCCTATGTCTCTTATCTGCGCTTCTGCTCACGGAAGGGAGGAAACCAGCGAAGCCAAAATGCCCTGCCGTGTGTACTTGTACCAAAGATAATGCTTTATGTGAGAATGCCAGAGCTATTCCACGCACCGTTCCTCCTGATGTTATCTCATTGTAAGGCCCGTAAGCATTTTGATATCTAATTTACGATTTAAAAATTCCAGCCGGTGGATTTGGGGCTTTGTATGTATTCGTAGGAAGGCATGGAGAGAGAGATTCCTCTTGCATGCTTGGCCATTTGACAGTGCTAACATTTGCTGCATTTAGAATTTTTGATTTTTTTTTTTTTTTTTTAGCTGCTACTGAACATGCATAGACCCCCCCCTTCCCAACCCCTGAACATGATTATGAGAAACCTGTAGCAGATTCATGTCTCTTACTTCATCTGGGAAGGAATAGTATCGCACTTCATGAATAGTGTCAAAATCGTGACTGTTATGCTAAACCGGATTAACATAAGGTCTGTTCTGTGTATGTGTGTGTCTCTTTGTGTGTGTCTGTTTGTTTTTGTGTTTTTTGTTTTCTTTCAGATCCTTTGTGAGATCTGGTTTTACTGAAATCTCAGAAGGGAGTTTTTTATTCACACCATCGCTGCAGCTCTTGTGAGAAATATTTATATCATGACTATTTTTAATATGGCATATATTTGGATAAGCCCTCTAGGAAAATGATCTCAATATTAATTTTGTCAGATGTGATGATATGACTGAAAAGAAAGCTTATCGGCAGAGTGAGGGGTAGATGAGCTTGTTTGCGACTTCATACCACCAGCGTGGGGGGGCTGAATTCTTACAATGGGAAATTTGCTAACCTGTAATGCGGTCTACTTTAATGACTATTTATGAAGTTGTTGGAATGTTGCAAACATGATCCCCCTTCTATGCCACTATTTTACTTTCATTTTTAACTTGGGAACTTTGGTTATTTTGCCCTGGAGTTTTTGAATTAGTCAATACAGAGACCAGCATAACATATGCTCTCAAGATGTTGTCTCCCGGGCATCTGGGACAGGCTGCCACTTTGGTTGATTTACCATGGGGGGGTGGTGGGACCAAAAAAAAAAAAAAAAAATCTCAGTTCTTTCTAGGTAATCCCTTAAAATATGAATTCTCGAGAGACCCTTTTAAAATCTCGTCTAATGTATAACTATTCCCCTCACAAGGAGGGAAGAAAGATGTTAATATAGGATGGTGCAAAGGATTACTCTTTGCTGGATGTTTTGAGTTGGCCACAAGGGAACCACATATTCAGTCTATGCCTGAAAATATTCAAAAAAATAATATTTGACTAAGAAATCAGATCTTTTCACAGGCATAATGTGACATGTGTAATTTGTTCTGATGTGTACCGTTTGACAATTGGAGCTCTAGTTCTCAGAGCGGGATCACATGGGGGTCAAGGGGTCTTCTGGTACTCAGGTGTCAGGCGACAGAGTCAGGTTGTAGCAGGCCGCTTCCGAGAGAATTGGCCAATTGTGGATTAGCTGAGTTTTGGCTCTCTCAACTGCAAGATTCAGGACCTAAGCTTTTTGCTCATCTGGTTTTCTTGCCTTACTGGGTCATTTTGGCTATTTGAGTTTATAATTACATAGGCAAATAGCATGGAATTGGCATTGCAGAGACCAGTGTGTAAATCTCACCCTGCCACTCTTAGAACCCACACAGGTAGCAAAATTACTAAATCTCACTGAGCCTCAGCCTTCTTATCTGTAAAATGGAAGTGAGAACACATACTTCGAAGGGTTGTTATCAGCGGTAAATAAGATTTAGATAAAACACTTGCTATTAGGTACGGTAGGTGCTTCCACATTTTATAAATGGTGGGGTTTAAAAATTCTACATTAAGCTAAAACACGAAAAGTCACTCGATCTATTGTTTTGTTTATATACAATCCCTAAACTGGTTTGACTGTTTCATCGAATTCACAAACTTGATCAGATGTTTTGACATTATGTAAGAATGTTGGCCGATGCCTTTCCACTGGTTAATGTCTTCAAGTGGTTAACAATTGACTAGATGATTTCTAAGGGGCTTATCTGTTTGACTGATGGCTAGTGGTGTGATTAGGGGACGTGTTAGCACATCAGTCAAATCCAAAAGAGATAGAGTCTTTGGCACAGAAAGGGGCGGCGTCTCTGATGCTGGGATCCTTCCATAGGATAAGAATTTGCTGCATCTGAGAGGTGATAAACTGTGTCTATGTTGCCCATTTGTTAAATAAATAAATGGCTCATTTCAAAAGCATCCTTTTGATGTGCTAAGACACGTCCCGTCCTCTAGGATATCTAAACAGATCAATCCTTAAGATTGGGAAGCTTCCGTGGATACAACTACTCATATTCTGACACTAAATGGACGTTAGCCATGGCATAGAAAGCCTAGAGTGATCAGTCCAATCAGTGACCATGTCTCCACTTTGTTTTTATTGGACAGACCCAGTCACGGCAAGCACAGATGCCGGACAACTATGTTATAGAAATAGTTACCGGCTGCTGCTGGGTAATGTGATTATACGTATTTAGCATCACAGAGGGAAGCCAAGGGACTGGTTTTTAAATAGCCCAACCGAGTGTGTGCCATGCCCGTGTCCCATGCTCCGAGTTCCTATGGAACATTCCAGCCCTTATTTCTAAAAGCAGCTCAGGTTTCAGAAATAACAAAAGGGCGAGTAATTCTTGCCTGTGTATGTCCTTGGTTAACTCATGTTGGCTAACCTCAACGAGGTAGATTTGTGTCAGTGCTGAGCCTATGCAAAAGGAACAGAGGTCAGAGTCATCTCTGATCTCCAGGACCTTGTGCCTTAAGACTTTGCTCTCCATCCTTCTGGTCCAATGTTCTCTGTTTCCTCCTACCCTCAGGAAAAGGTCTCATAAGCTCACGTGCACTAAAGAGGAAATAAAGGATAAGGCTCTGCCTAGGAACTGTGTCACAATCATAACAATTGTGGAAACGCATGGTTCACAGACAGAAAGGGTTCTTCTGTGGGACAGGGCCATCCAGTGCCCTGAAAACCCCACACGGGCTGCCAGTCCCCCACTGGAACCCGGGGACCAAGGGCACTGGGCCACCGGATCAGACCTAAATCACTCCAATCATTGCTTGAGGTTTGTGATGAGTTCTAGCAGCGTTTGTAGCCATGACCCATCAGAGTCTTTGAAGAGAGATGAACTTCAGAATCTATTCATCTTGACTGATATGGAAAGGCAGCCAGGTGTGGTGGCTCAGGCCTGTAATCCCAGCACTTTGGGAGGCCAAGGCAAGAGGATTGCTTGAATCCAGGAGTGCAAAACCAGCCTGGCCAACAAAGCAAAACCTCGTCTCTGCAAAAAATAAAAAAAATAAATAGGCGGGTGTGGTGATGCACACCAGTATTCCCAGCTACTCAGGAGGCTGAGCCCAGGAGGTCAAGGCTGCAGTGAGCCATGATCGTGCCACTGCCCTCCAGCCTGGCCAGCAGAGTGAGACCCTGACGCTAAGTATATAAATGAAAGCTGTAGGAAGACAGTTGGTCTCTTGCTCTGTTGTTGGAAAAGAAAAAGGAACACCCTATTCCCATCATGTACCCTAACGATATGACCATGTTGTTATGGCCCCAAAAGCTTTCTCAGACCTTCTGTAGAAGCCATGATGAGAAATACTTTTGGAAATGTCAGCCTGGGAGTACTGAGGAAAACAGACGCGGTACCTCAAGTTACACGCAGTGTTTGGGAAAAGATCTTGGTAGGCCGTGGCTGGCAGTTTGTGTTGGAGGACAAGAAAAACAAAAACCCACACTCTGTAGAGAGGAGAATAAAATGATCCAACAAACATTCATCAGATTCGTTGTACAAAACGTATTTTTTTAAAAAATCTCACTTGTGGTTTTGAACAACAACGGCAAAAACCTTTCCCAGGCAAATGCAGTTTCATTCATGTTTGCCATAGGGCCAGTTTTGAAACATCACCAATGAGCGCAATTATGCATTCTGGTTTGCTTTCAGTGATAGAGAGTGGTACTTTCAGTGAATGCAATTTAGAGAAATGTGTTTTCACACATTACAGCCCTGTTCCTTCTCAACTACAGACTGAAATCCCCAATGATACAGTCTCATGACAGAAGAAAAATTCAAATTTAAGAGGACAAAATATGACCATGTTGCCATTCATGGATAACATATTTAATGAGCTAATCCCCTGCAGTTTCCTAAGAGAGTTTTATTCACAGTTTATTATTTCCAAAACAAAACAAAACAAAAAAAACTATATATAAGAATTCAAATGTGACCATAAAAGAAACTTCTATTTATTCCAATGGGATTTGGTCTTGTTTGAAACACGGAATTGATCTGGCAGCAGGGGTGAATAGCATTATTTTTAAAATTCATCTACAACACATAAATACATGGTCTGTAAGAAATTAAAAACGAAAAACAAACGGAAATACAAATAGCATAAACCAAAAAAGGAATAAGGCTTCTTACTAAAGCTTCCTTGTTTAGTCCCTCAAACTATTTTTTAGTCCAGGAAAAAATATCCATGGCCTGTCTTACCTTTAAAGCGATTGCTCTCTATTTCTATATCTCTTTAAATTACAAGTGTAAGAAAAATTTCGAAATCTTCAATGACCACTCAAGCCAGACCTATCAGCTAAAAGGACTTTCTGAGGAATGATTAGCTGATTATAGATAAATGTGTTTGGCTTGTGCCCAGCCGAGGCCTCCCCGCCCACGATGGCCTGAACAGTACAAATGCCAGTCATCGATGCTGTTTTGTCTACAATTTGCCCAGTGACCCATAGATCTGATTTTTAACTTTGTAGCTAATTCACGGCACCAAGTAGCGCCGTACAATTGTTTTCTCTGCAAGCCTGTTTCATCCTCTCAGTGATTCAGGCGAGAAACTTCAGCACGACCTGTCCCTTCTCTCTCCCTGTCCACTTATACTTGGAGAAGTCGCCCCTTGGGCAGCGTGAGAATCTGCACCCTTGTCCCATCCGCAGCCCCATGGGCCTGATGGAAGCACATTTTATTTCGTTGCACAGGCAGGAGCTCCCTACCATTCTCTCTGCCTTGGGTCCATCCAGCCCATCTCCGTTAGTGCCACCTTCCAAAGACACGGCTCTCTGTGTCCCCCTTGTGTCTTCATGGCTCCCTAGAGAAAGTCCAAACATCTGAGTTGGCGTCAGTAGCATTTGGTTCTTTACTGGTTGTCTAGGGTTATCATCAAAACATTGATTCCCCCCAAACACACACACGCACACACACACATCCAAACAAGCTCCATCCGCAACACACTGGAGGATCGCGTTCTGTGACCTCTGTTTTCTCCGCTTCTGTCGACGTCTGTGTCTGGTACTGCCTGCCACGTATGAAAGTCACCTGTGCGTGCATCACGGAGGACCATCAAAGAAGCCACGGTCCCAGGGAAAAGCCTAGACCCAATATACCCAGGGGTTGCTTCCTGTATAATTGTTGAATCTAATTCTTATTTTTATAGATTTAGGACTGAAGACTCCTGGTCACGCTCACACCCTTTCTTGTGTTTGGTGCACCCCAGCTGATCTCACGTGGACCGATGGGTGGGCACTCTGGAAAGTGATTTGAGACCCCTAAAATGGGAAGAG